CATGAGCCCTCCATTCGAGACAAATCGGTACACCGCGCACTTCCTGACGATTCCAAGCTGCCTAGGAAGCCCCCAGACCAACAAGGGAGAAAAATGTGTCAGCGGTGGGATTTGAACCCACGAGTGCGAACACAGTAGAACTTGAGTCTACCCCCTTGGACCGCTCGGGCACACTGACTTTGTTACGCCCTTCGACTTTACAAAAGTTGAATCGTTTCATCGTGGCATTGTCGGCTCATTACATGCTTGCCTCTTCGCGTTGCGTCGACTGATTCGATGGACGGCACGCTTGAGAAGACATCGACAGCTTCGCTGGAAGGAGTCACAGAGCCAAAGTGTTTGGCCACAGGAGCCTGTGGATCCGAAATCGTGTTGCATAGACGGTGTTCAAGCAAAGGACATGTGGTCGACTGCACTTGCGTTTTGTATAGTGTCTAGTTGAATAGTAAAATCTTGGCCAAAGTTGAACTTGTCGCGGCATGTCGTCGTCGTCAGTGGATCTCATAGCGCTCTTGTCTGCGTGTGTCGATTTGGGGGCGTTTGCTGGCCAAGTTATTCGAGACGTTGTTGCGTCCGGTGAGTCGCTCCAGACAGTAAACAAGGCTGACGACGGCGCAACTGCCTCGTTCGACCCTCAAACGGTAACGTGGCATACCCTGGATGACTATCGATGGACGGTCTGCTTGTCTTGGCAGCGTGGCACGATACGCTTGCTATCTGCATCACTTATCGTCACGGCATGGGTTGTGCCCTGAGTAGATTGCCGACACGCGTGCTCAGCAGCGAATTGTCGAGTCATTGCGGCGACACTTTGGCCCCAAGCTCATAATCGTGGGCGAAGAAGGCCACCTGGACCCCCCCGCAGGGGAAGACGTGACCACACCATGCACATCACTGCTGGCTGCCACGCATCCGACAGCGGTTCCCGTCGACCTGGAGGATCTTGTCGTTTGGATCGACCCGTTGGACGGGACACGAAAATTCACCGAAAAAGCGTACGACGACGTGTCGGTGCTTCTCGGACTGTCGTATCGTGGCCGTCCCATTGCAGGTAGGCACTGCCCTTCCTTCGCTACAAATTGCATGGCGCCCCTGCGCGCATGTGCATGCCATTCGTACTCTGTTCTGAATCGTCTACCATCCTCCAAGCATGATGACCATCCACCGATTTTGACAAGTCCGAGCTGTCAAACGTCTAGCCTTCAGTAGTTGAGTGGGAATTTCGTGTTTTGCAGCCCGTTTGGTTGCATATCATGGTGTGTGTTGCTGCTGCGTGTGGTCTGGTGCGTTTGTAAGGTAGTCGATCTCCATCCAAGTGACCACAGCATGGAATCGTCCGAGTTGAATTGGGCATGGATGTCCTTTGAACGAGCTCACGTTGCCACGGCATGCGTTCCTACTAGGTGTGATGCACCAGCCGTTTGTTGGCGGCGGTGGCGGCACGACCTATTACGGCGGCCCTGCGGTGGACGGCATCTTCAGGTGCCACGTGGTTTCTCCGTATACAACGCACATGTTCACCTGGCCCGCATTTGAACGCGTCCCGACCGGACGTGCCACGCTTTCAACCCGATCGACCCCGATCGTGGGCCACTCGGAATCCCCATGTGGCCATGCCAACGCGATCCTGCCGTTGCTCAACATGAGCACTATGGCCAAAGGATCGACTGGCATTCTCCTGTTGGACGTAGCGCTCGGCCACATCGACGTGTACTTTCGGTACATCCATCGAACGAAGCGGTGGGACTCGTGCGTCGGCGAAGCGTTTCTGATCGTCCTGGGCGGCGTATTGACCGACCGGAATGGCCACCTCTACGACTATAGTGCGTCCGGCGACCACGAAAACACGGCAGGGATCGTGGCTTCTTTGGACAAGTCGCTCCACGCCACAGTCGTCGCCTGTGTGGCTACGTACGCTTCGTAGAGAAGGACGACCTGGTTCTGGTAAAACGACACGAAAAATGGCAAGTTCATTGTGTCCATCCTCCATGGAATCACCATTTTGTTGTGTGTCAATGCTCTGAAAGGCAAATCTACCCACAAGGCTACAAACATTAACGAGGACGCTTCCGGTTTTTGTCCATAGCGGCGACGTCGAACAGAACAAAATGCAAGGCGAGGCAACTTAGGAGATTTGGGAGCTATCCATGGACCAGCACGAACTATCGTTCTTGAGCGAGAGACCACAGCACAGCCTCACGTGATTTGAAGGGAACCTATGCACGTTACAAAGTCTACTTGAATTCGGCGAGCAGTGCGTCCTTGTGCTGGTGGCGAAACAGAATCGTCTTGATACTGCGATCGCTCGTTTGGTCTGCGAAGTGCCTACACACCCATCGAGTCACTACTCCACTTTCATGAGGGTGCACTTTGTAGCAAGTGGAAACGCCCATGACACGGTCGAAACGTACTGAAATTTCGAGAACGCTTGCGCCTCTACATCCCCGTTGAATACATCGGTGACGAGTCCATGGCGATGCGCAGCATCAGCAGACAACTTCGCGCCAAGCAGCAGGAGCGCATTCGCTTGCATGTAACCCATTTTCGTGATCAAGGCGTGGGCGGCTGGCATGGCCGACGCTGTTGGCACTTGAAACGTGGCGCGCTCGTGGGAAAACACAACGTCCGCGAGGCCCACGAGTGAAACTACTCGAAAGAACCACATGAAAAGTCCGTGAAGTGAACGATGTCCTCAAGTATTGCTTTACCCTGGAGCCCATGCACAGGGCCATGTACGACCACACCCAACGGTACTGGATAGGCGATAATGGCTTGAATCAACGGCGCGATAGCACCTACAACCAAGGATGAATAGGGCCATCGCCTCCAACAACTGCATTGGCAAAGAAAAGGTGGTGAGCATCAGTCGACGTACTTGGATGCACCGTGGAAGGCGCTGCAGGATGGAGCTGTAGCACGAGAACCTTCGAAACTGGATCATTCGCGGCTTCTTTGATGGCACTCGTGAGCTTTCCAACCAAATCGTTGTCCAGTGGGGCATTGGCGTCCGTCGACAGAGTTGTTACTCCTCCGCTGTCAAAGCGTGTTGCGCTCCATGATTCATCGAAGCCACAACTCTTTGAGCAACATACCTTTGAGTGAATTTAACACCCTCATTGGGTGACGAAGGTGTTGCTGGGGTTGGCGCGGAGCCAGCCGTGGACTGCATGCCAGAGCTTTTGGCGAGGCCATCGATGAGGTCGCAGTACTGTTGTTTGGCTTCATCTGCACTCAGCGAGCTAAGTTTCATCCATGCTTCCCACTTTGCCTTGCCCTGGAAAACGGGATTAGCGTGCGACATTGTTCATTTCAACCAGGACGTACAACGAAGTCGAACATCCCCGGCTTGGGCTGCATGTTGGCACCGTCTGTTGCCTGCTTGTACAACGCATACATTTGCAGCTTCAGGCCATTGTCCTCCAGCTTGGGTAACGATTTACCAAGGGCAATCTTTTCCCGAAAGAGCGTATCCAGGCTCGAGGACGAGAATCCGCGGTTTCGGCCGAGAGCTTGGCGCAGCAGCAGCATCAAGATGTGTCGACGCAGAAGATACGGATCAAATAAGAGTGCGGCACAACAGATATCGTTTTTCACAGGTTTTCGTCATGTACGCGAAAATGGTGACGACCATGAGCTTGTGCTGGCGGCGTCGTTGGACCACTCGGTAGATCTCTTCAAGTGCATCAGAGCCGAGACGTAGCGCTGCGCCAGTTCAAGCTTGATTTAACAAGCGCGTATTAACATCGCAGGACACCACCAGTTCTTGCCCCGCAGGCATGTGGGCGACAAATTTTCTACATACAGGCCTACCTTCCCCTCTAGTACAAGGGACGACGCATCGACGTCAACGCGCACTCAATTGCTTTGCAAGAACGACAGTGCCGTTGGAGCCTGCCATTGCGTCTTTGGCAGAGTTGAGGGTGCATCGAAGACTGCGAAGTCGACTCGAGAGTGTGTACGAACAACTGGAGCCTCTCAGTTACGCCTCCGGTGTAACCGAGCGTGAAACGGCAGGTGGAGGCACGATGGGCAACGTGGTGGAACCGGTGCACCCTGCTGAAGGCGCATCGGTGTCTCGGCGCGGTTCTGCGTCGTCGTTCATGATTGCCTCAAAACTCAAGCGTCATCCATCGTACACAACTTCCTCGTGGTGTTGGCTGATAAAGGCTTCAACCATAGAGCAGCACCGGAGTGCATCTTGTTTGTCGGGTTGGATGGGAGTGGCAAGACGAACCTTCTTCAGGGTACAGAACCCAAGCGGACACCAGGATCACGTGGTTGATGACTAGGGCTCGCAACAGTGTGCACGCCAGCGACCCCGGTGCCACAAGAGCAGCACGTATGGGCGACCCCGAACCCCCTGCCCAGCCGATTTCCTGTCGTCAAGTCGATCGTATTGCAAGGCCGCGAAGTAAAGCTACTGGCTGTTCCAGGCAGTCGGAACCTGCGCTACCTGTGGTTCGAGTGCACCAGTCGACGACGATGGCGGACTATGTTTTCTGCGGGATGTAGGTACACCAGCTTGACCAAGGGCGAGATAAGCGCCGTTTGCTTTTGTGTGGACATCAGCGATACAATCCGATTTCCTCTTGTGGCTCTTGAGCTCGAGCGCTTGCACGAATTCCAACAAACTAGCAAACTTGCCACGTCCTGGATCCTCTTCACAAAGAGCGACTGCATTCAAGTACACGTCCATTACCCTTACGTCCGCTGAAGCACGTGCGTGTAGGTCGCGAAGGGCACTGCCGTCGAGACGTACGAGCTGCTGAAAAAAATGTGCGCTCAATTGACAAAGGCCCCGTGCAATTGGGCGTTTAGTCTGATGCCGCTGGCAAATTCCAACTTGGAGGGGAGTCTCATCGAGGTGAAAAAGTGGATCCAAGAAGCCCTGCCTCCGAAACCATAGCCCACGTCTTCTACGGCACGCGCATGGATGAAATGTGTTGAACTACTACGATTGCGTTCTCATGTCAATATCAAAGTTGCAAGGCACAGGGGGACTGTATGAATGCAGCGCGATTCAACTCTGCGGGAACTCTCATTATTGTATGTCCCCATGCACTCGGATGCAGTAAGTGTAGCATCGAAGTCACCCATTTCAACGATGCGAAATTGCGATGCCAGCAAGTGTGCACACAAGAGTACCTTCGCCACCACAATGCTGGGCAACCCACACGTTTGCTGGCAGTTCAACCATGGCAAAACAAACTGCAGTTTGACAAAAATACCGAGGGGACACGAGCTCGTGGTCCAATACACTAGTTCTTCCTGAAGAAGGAGCGGATGCATTCGTTGCTGCAGGTGTAGTCGACCGGTTTGTCGTACAGAAGCGAGAGTACGAGAAAAATTGTTGTTAAATAGGCAGTTAAACAATGTCCATCAGTCACAGCGACTGAAGAAAGTCCTTGGCTGCTTCGTACGACGCAAACATGACAGCAGCGTACGGGACGAGTCGGACCATGTTGGCCAAGGATCCGCGGTAAAGCCCGATCGTACCTTCTTCCTGAACGACTTTTCGAAAGCAGTCAATGATGCCATCGTACACCTTGTCTGTCGCTGTCTGCATCTGCAGGCGCTTCTTGACCGTGTCGAACGGATATGCAACACTTTGAGCTGCGGCGCCGGCAAAGCTGCCCAAGACGAAATGGTCGACCGTGTGCAGGTGAGTCTTGTCGTTGGGCCACCGCCACGATGGCCACCGGTTGTCGACAGCGTACTTTTTGCCGTAGTCGTAGCACGCAAATTGAATGCCTTCAAATGGAATCGACCCCACAAGACCTGACAAACACCCTCGATACAGCCCCTTCACTCCATCATGTCGAACGATTGACCTGATTTCACGAGAAATGCTTGTGGTGTGTTGGGCGTTCACAATGAGTCGTGTGCGAATGAGCTCCATCGGGTACACCACCATGGTGGCCACCATGCCAGCGACGGCGCCACACACAGCGCGCTCCACGGACGTGGGGCTGCCTTCGTGTACAACAAGAGACTGCAATTGGTCGTACAGGCAAAATTTAACGCCAGAATACGGTCCGAGGCGGCAGCAACCCGCGAGATTACCCTTCCAGAACCCGACGGGACCGCGCGAGTGGTACACATGCATGACCGTGGCTTTGATGGACCCCCCGCCTTTCATTCCGTTGACCTGGAACAAGATCTTGAGCACATCGAGTGGCGACGTGCACGAACGTGTGACACAGCCAGCAAACACCCCCGCCGTCACCGACTGCCACGTTCGCGTGTGCGTCGTCGCGCAAGTCATCAGAGACGTCGTTTGCTTTGTGTCCATGATGGGATATCGAAGACTGACGATGCATGCCCCTTCGTGTGCGTGCGTAGAGATACGTGGCACGATCTCGTGCTGGATTGGACCACTGGATTCGAGGCAGGGTTCTGAGTGCATATAAAAGCGCCGTCGTTCGGTTTGACCAATCAGAGACACTCGCGACTGTTGTAGATCCAAATTCAGCCAATCCGAGACAAGGGAAAAGTCAGAGGCCAGGGCAAAATGAACTCAACGTTGAAATTGGCCAACTTGTGTCATCATATGAATGCAAGTGCTGCTGACAGACCAACGCTGCACATCCTGACACCACACCCTGCTGCAACCTCTAAACGAGGGCACCGTCGTCGGTTACTGGCGGCGACAAGCCATCTATGCGAAGGGGGGATGGCTCCCTTTCACGGGGGATACAGAGACATTTCCCTTCATGAGCGCAACACGAAGACGATCGTTGTATGGAGCGGGAATTTTTCGTTCAAGGCTCGGAGGCGGGCAACGAGAAACCAAGTGTTTGACTAGTACGGCGAGTGTGTTTGGGGCTGTCCGCATTATTGTCCAATCGACAACATGGCGCGTTCGAGCGCTTCCTGAGCGTTTTGGAAAGGAAGGACGTGTCTGAACTCCGTCCAAAGTCTCCGATCCCTAGTACGCCATCGACGGTCACATTCTCGTCCTCCGCCCAGCCGAGGAACGGTTGGTTGGAACAAATGCCGACAAATTTCACCCAGGATAAATCTTCGAATGGAAACACCCGATGTCACCCCCGTTCTTGACCACGTGCACGAATAAAAAAGCCCAGTGGTGGACGCATTGGCACTCCATAGTTCCCGACAAATATAATAGTCACTCTCGAGACTCTCTGTCGCTAGTGGAGCTATGGCTAGCATCTAGTGGCCAAGGAGGACCACACAAGCTTATTGCATACAATTGCGCCCACTCGGATGACACCCCCCGGGCAGACGTCGTTTTCCGATGATTCAACAAACCTTTTCAACGATGTGTGCTGTTTTTTCCGCTTTGAATCGAACTCTTCGAAGTACATAAGTTAACACAAACTAACGGCACGACACATCACACGACAGGTCCATCCATGGCGGCACTCACAAGGACGACAAAAAGTCCTTGGCTGCTTCGTACGACGCAAACATGACAGCCGCATACGGCACGACGCGGACCATGTTGGGCAGCGTCCCTCGGTACAGCGCCACCGCGCCTTCCTCTCGAACGACCTTGTCCAGGCAGTCAAGCATGCCCGTGTATCTTTTGGCCGTGTCTGCTTGCAGGCGCTTCTTCACACTGTCGAATGGGTAGGAAACAAGCTGGGCAATCGCACCGGACCAACTCCCGATAACCAAATGGTCCAACGAGTTGAGCTGGTGTTTGTGTTCAGGCCAGCGCCAAGCCGGCCACCGCTGCTGCACAGCGTAGCTTTTACTGTATTCGTAGCACGCGAACTGGATCCCTTCGAACGGAATCGACCCCACAAGACCCGAGAGGCAACCACGGTAGAGGCCGCGCATGCCTTCCTTGCGGTAGATGTGTGTCAGTTCCTTGTGGATTCCTCGAAACGCAGTCGCGTCTTGCATGATGATCCGCGTGCGAACCACTTCCATCGGGTACACGGCAAGCGTCGCACACATGCCTGCAATCGCACCATGGACAGCCTTCTCCACGTGAGGGGCACTCGCCGCCGACTTGGATTGCAACGTGTCGAAGATGCAAAATTTGACGCCTGCGTATGGGCCAAGTCGGAAGCATCCAGCGAGGTTGCCTTTCCAAAACCCTCGAAGGCCTTCTGACACGTACAGTTGCTGGCACGCGTGGTGAATGGAGCGGTGTGCCGTCGGGTGGTTGACTTGAAACAGGATCTTGAGCACGTCCATGGGGGACGTGCACGACCGCGTGACGCAGCCTGCAAAGACGCCCGCCAGGACCGAGTGGACGCCGTTGATCTGGGAAATGGCGGCGGACGTCGCCAGTGTCTTGTTCGTTGTCGATGTCATGTTCAATTGTGAGCCGCTTGCTCGCCGAGTGTCTCTGGCCGCTTGCTCGAGTATTTGTCAATTCGTTGTCGGTCTCCACTGCGAAAACGAGCCAATCAAAAGGTTGCCTTTTTACTTTTTTTCATGGTTTTTCTTCGACATTTTCCACGAAGTGAAACTGCCCAATAATAATATCTAACGGTTTGTATCGACCGACCCATGGAATTTAAATGCAGTCGCCACTGCGATACTTCAACCGTGCTCAGAAACGCCTGGCATGGCACTGGCAGACGGATGGCCCAATGGCATCACGCCAAGTTAATTGATGGGCATGATGCGGTGGCCATGGAAAACTCGCGAAGGGGCGCCAGGTCAAGCGCATACGCGACAACGTGTATGGAAGGAGGTCGTGGTCTCAATTCGAGGCGATTCGAGAACACGCCACCGCACGGCGGAGCGTCCAGTACCCACAACGGTGGATTTGGTGACTGACATTGACGGAAGTGTTGCGTGAAGTCGCGACAATGCAAGATGTCTCGGCAACTAGGAACAGCTGCTCGGGTACTACGACTACTCTGAATCTTCCGACTGGGCGTCCTGTCGAGCGAGAAGGCAGAACAGGTTCTCGGCCACGAACGACACGTGGTTGTCAAGCTACGTACTACCAGCCCCCGGCATCCTCGCTGATCGCCGTGCGACCCTCCCCCACGAATCCCCCCACTGAATCCCAAGAAGTGCGCCGTGTCTGGCGATTGTGGCGCCCCAGGGAGCTGAGAGCTCAAGGTTCTATTCCATTCACACCCCAAGTCCCCCGCTGTTTCACGAAGGTGCAAGTGATCTGCTGAGGTTCTTCTCTCGAGGTGTAGCCATTTGGTCTCTGGCGGGTGATTTGCCCAAGCCAGCCCCCTTGCGTCCGACAACCTTTCCGACCGTGGACTTCGTACCTGTCAAGAGTGCCCTGTCTTCCTGCTTGCTCCGCAGTACTGCAACTTGCTCAGTCCACCACGACCGCATGGGCGATGCGTTGCCGGTGGAAAAGCTTCTCATATTTCCAATCAACCACACAGGTCCTCTCTCGACGCGCATAGCACGAACTTTTATCATGGACTGTACAGCTCACACAGCAGGGACCACTAGTCTAGTAATTATGCGCCATACTTGGGCACGTATCCCAATCGAAATGCCAATTCGCGCACGACAACATGGGCTTGCGTACAGCCGTACCCTCCATGAGCCAAGATGGCGGCATCGTCAAAGGCCGTGACAGTGTCTCGCCGTGTCTGATTGCAAAGGTAGAAGGAGTACACGAGCGAGGGCGAAAAGGCGGACGGGTTGATCGCATATTCGCCGTCGCGCTTGAGCCAACTCTGCTTCGGCACGGGAAATAATGGCGAAGGAGATGAACACTGGCGCAGCGACGTTTCCTTCATGATCCCCACAAAGCACGTAGACGTTTCACTCGAGCACAGAGTCTCCAAGCACTGATTCAAATCCTCTTGACACCAAAAAACGTGTTTGTCATATTCGAGAGTAGAGCAGCAGAGGTCGACGTACCGGTGAATTCAGTCACGTCGATGTGCACCACGAGAATGCTGCGTTTCGAAGAAGCCACGAAAGACAGGATACGAGCAGGCAAAGCATGCGGCTCCGCAACCTCCACGGTCACGTCGCCGCCCAACCCAGCGCATACATTCGCGGACGTTGTCAAGACGAGGTGGGGGATGGACAAGGATGAGAGGCTAGCGCGCACGGCCCAGTGAGCGAGGCATGCCCAGCCACTACATACGTACATTGATGTGTTGCCAGACTCGCGGTCTATTCCCAGCACTTGCTTGAACGAGGTAGGTGCATCTGGGCCTATAGGTTGCAATCACAAAACCAGGGACATGGTAGAAGGAGTTGGGGCATCTACCTAGAGACACGACGAGCGTTCCATTGGTCCCATTACGAGCTATCGCGTTGAAAGCTGTCCATGATTTCCGTGTCGCCGTCGGCTCCGTCGCCGCAGTGAGGTACACTAGGACGCCATGGTGCGCTATCAATGGCGGCAGTGTCATCCCAAAGTGATCGCATCGCAACGTAAGTGCGCTACGAAAGCTGTCCCTCTCGTACTTTACAAGATCAACCCTGAGAATAGTGTAAAGATTAGAATTGCGTGAACTAGGCATCGCCATGGACTCGCCGACACTACTTGTGACGCACACCTTCACCTGTTGAAAGGCCGTCAATCGGTTGTCCACTCCGCGTTCAAAGTGAGTTGGTCGTTCGCAAGAAGCTCTCCGAGGAGAGACTGAATATGCCTCGAAAGCAACGAGGATCTCCGAACACGGCATCATTCGTCATGCAAACACGGGCAAATACAGGGGTAAGGCATGCTCAAACACGTCAACGACAAGGGTGGAGCTTGCGTTCGTTGTTCAGGTGAGCACGAGTCTCAGGCACCTGAAGCATTCACTACGTCGTCCAATTTGGCATGTTGTGGAAACCTCAAGGCGCAACGAAAAGATGGAGTGGATATTCTCTGGGCCAATCAAACTGCCGAAAGAATACATCCACCAATCCATGTAGGCAAAGAAACCCCGTTTTACTGACGGGAGTTCCAGGTATAGGAAAAGACCAACAACATTCCGCCTAACTAAATCATACTTACCTGACTGGTGCTCGACCGTGATCAACAAGGCGGTTGACATGAGCCGGAGCAGGCCTTCACGCACTCCGGTGCTGTAATGGCTCAGGAGCACCCTCGGGTGTTTCCACAGTGCAATTTTTGCCAGCGGGGGTGTGCGCGTGCGCCACCCCCAACCCCACCTCTCTATCGTCGATCTCTCCCTTGTGTCCTTCTTCGCTCCGTCTGCCTTCCTCGCATCCGTCGCCTTGGTTGTGCAGTGCAGAGTAACATGAACCAAGCACAACTGACTTGGACGAAGGGCGCTTGGTTTTCACCCTTCTTTGCTCCTTTCAACGCGACTGGCTGTCCTGGATGGTAGAATTCGTCGATCGTGGTGGGAATAGCAGACATTGTAGCCACGTTTTCTGTCCCTGTGCACAACCACCAGGTCCACGCATGACATGGCAATGTGAACTCGACGACGCATCATGTGTTTTGGAATGCAATGTATTCGGGGGAACTCATTACAACTTGAGTGCCGGGACCAAGTCCTTGTCCACGATCGACTTGATGAGCGAGTTTCCGTTCAAGATCTTGGTCGTGGCAATCACAATGTCAAACGGACACTCGGGAGTTACAGGTATAGGAAAAGACCAACAACATTTCGCCTAGCAAAATCATACTTACCTGACTGGTGCTCGACCGTGATCAACAAGGCGGTTGACATGAGCCGGAGCAGGCCTTCACGCACTCCGGTGCTGTAATGGCTCAGGAGCACCCTCGGGTGTTTCCACAGTGCAATTTTTGCCAGCGGGGGTGTGCGCGTGCGCCACCCCCAACCCCACCTCTCTATCGTCGATCTCTCCTTTGTGTCCTCCTTCGCTCCGTTCGGTTGCGTGTTGCTGACCGCCGTGCCTATTAAAGCTCGTGCCTTTCAGCGTCTGTGCCTAGTATCTTCAATGCCTTCGTTCTCGCTCGCATCGAACACCCAGTCTTCGGACTCGCCGCGCTCGCCTGCGTCATCCATCCTTGCTTTCCCTTCTGCGACATTTCCTCCCATTCCTAACCCGCAGGAGGTGGGTGAGGTCCCTAGACCTGGCCGTCCCGCTTCAACCGGGCCAGTGTTCTGTCACCACCAACTCTCTGCTCGCTCCTTCCACTGCCCCGTGTGTAAACAACGCTTCCCCGCTTAGTCCTCGTATACCAAGCATCGCGTTGAACATCGTGGTGTCGTCTTTGCTGATGGATATTCGTCGCCCTGCTGCCCTGCGCTCCTTTTATCCTCTCGTTACAGCGCCGCGCAGCACCAAAACGCGTGCGATCAACGCCCATCCAACCCATCGACACCACCGCCGCGGCCCACGGCAATACCGCGTTCACTCGTCTGTGCCTGGAGCGAGACGCAAAGGCCCCATTCGACGGCGACTCTTCAGCTAGCTTCGCGGATAGCAGCTTCTGAGGACGATATATCGCCCCCCACATCATCCCCATGCAACTCTTCCCGCCCACCTGTCGCCCCTGACCCACCTTCTGCCTCTGCTGCCCCTCCTACCGCCGATTCCGTTCACCGCTTTTTCGCTTGTAATCGAGAGTTTGCCTCTCAGCGTGGCCTCACCTGCCACCTTCGTTACTGTGGCGTGACACCTCCATCCGCGCACGCGCGCGACTCGACTAAACAGCCACGCACGTTTGCCCCGTCTGTGTTGCCCACATCTGCGTCCCCCGGTACCTACACCCTGCGTTTTGATGGCTCCTGTCTTGGCAACGGTTCCAACTCGGATTCGACGCCATGCGGCGCTGGTGCTGCTTTGTTCGCCCCTGATGGCTCCATTATCTGGTCTCTTTCCGCGTTCCTTCCCTCGGCCAAGTCGAACAACATGGCCGAATACAGAGCGCTGCTCGCCGGCGTGATCGGCCTTCGTCATTGGTGTCCCAGTACTGTCGTCATCGAGGGTGACAGCCCTCGTGATCTCTCAGGTTCTCGGCCGCGCGCGCTGCCCCAACGACCTCCTCCGCCCCTTCCGCACCCACATTCTCCACCATCTGCAGGCCCTGCGTGAGCGCAAAGTCGCCTACACGCTCCGCCACATCGAACGCAACTATAACACCGTCGCCGACGATTTGGCCAAGACTGCAGCAACGCTCCGAACCTCCGAATGTCGTTGTCTCTGCTCGTTCCCCTCGACTGCTTGCGCCCCTCGTGTCCTCGACTCCCCTTCAGCTGCCATCCTTGACACGAACACGGTCTGGAGCCTCCGTCATGAACGCGTTTGCCCACGTATGAGCGTGGATTCGATTCTGCAACCCTGTCCCCCTGTAACTGAGCCCCGTGTCGTTGCAGCCGCTGCAACCGCCGCCTCGGCGTCGCCCCTGTCCCCAACTGCAGCAGACGTCCTGTCTGCAGTGGATGTTACGTCAGGTGTCCCTGCTGTCGACGTGGTCCCATCCGAAGACACGGATGTAGTTCAAGCGTCCCCTGTTGCGCCCCCGCCTGCCTTGCAACCCCTCGCCACCGACGAGTCCACCGATATGGACACGTCCGCCGCGGCTGAGGTCGCCCAGGATCTCTTCCGTCGCCGTCGTCGCGTCCAACTACCTCGCAACATCCCCGACGACATTTTTGCCACGGTCTCCGATTCCCTGCAGCTCCAAGTGCGTCAGTGGATCACCACCATCGAAGACTCCGACGACTGGGCGGCGACGTCCTCCATTCTCTTGGAATTTCCGTCGAAGCTGTCCAAGGCGATTACGCAGCTCCACAAGGCCGTCCGTGCTCGCGGCGCGGTCTACATGTCCCCTGATCGCATCGCCCCTGCGCGCGCCGAACTCAAGGAGGCTCAGCGTACTGCCTCGGGCTCGCGCCGAGGAATCGAACGGGCTCGTCGGCGCCTCGCACGCCTCTATCGCGCCGAAAAACGCAACGAGTTGCGCCACCTCTTTGTCCGCTCCGAAAAGAGGTGTGTCCAGGGCATTCTTCGGGAAGCTCTAGGTTCGCCGACACCCCAGCGCTGCACGATCCCTACCTCGACACTCGAAGGCCACTTTATTGCCACCAACAGACCCGCCGACGTCTTCGACGTCAACGATCCGCGCGGCCGTCCGTTCCTTGCTGCTCTCAACGCCTCGCCTCGCTCCACCACGTCGGACCAGGTCTTCGCGGATCCCATCACGTCGGACGAGATCGAACTCGCGCTGGACAAGTGTCGCCTCGACTCTGCGCCCGGCCTCGACGGCATCACGTTTCGGGTTCTCTTTCAATTCCGGCTCACCCTGCTGCCCGTTCTCACCACTGCGTTCAACTCTTGTTGGACGAAGAAACGCATCCCGGACTGCTGGAAGGTCAGTGTCACCGAGCTCCTGTACAAGAAGGGGGACGAGTCGGACCCGAGCAACTGGCGTCCCATCGCTTTGCAGTGCGCGCTCTACAAGCTGTTTGCGTCGGTGCTCAAGGCGCGCCTGTCGGGCTGGCTGGAAGACAACGGTCGCTTCAACAACGCCCAGAAAGGATTCCGCAACTTCAACGGGTGCCATGAACACAACTTCCTCGCGCAAAGCATCATGGACTCCACCCGGCGCCAGAAGAGGCCTTTGTACGTCGTGTGGTACGATCTCAAGAACGCCTTTGGTTCCATCCCGCACTCGTTTCTCTGGTTGGTGCTCGGCCGCCTCGGCATCCCCGAGTCCTTCCTCGCCCTCCTCCGTGACATCTACACCGGTGCATCGACAGTGGTGGCCTCGTCTGGTCGCCTCACCAAGCCCATTGCCCAAAATGTCGGTGTCTTTCAAGGTTGCCCCCTGAGCCCGCTCCTGTTTATTGCAGGTATGATTCCGCTGATCGAGGCCCTCCAACAGGCCGCGCTGCTCAATGGCATATGCGTCTCTCCGTCTCACGACGTTGCTACGACCGCCTTCGCCGACGATATCAAGATCTACAGCCGCACGCGCGCGGGCATCGCCAAATTGCACTCTATCATGGCCGACTTTCTCGACTGGACGACCATGCGGGCCAACCCGGGCAAGTGCATGTCGTTGGGCGTTCGCCATGACGGGAGACGCCACGTGCCTGACAACGTTGGCCTGACCATCCATGGCGGCGCCATCCGCGCCATCTCCTTGGAAGACAGCTACTGCTACCTCGGTGTGCACGAAGGTTTCGACCATTTCCACGTGCGGTTCCAATTGTCCGACAAACTCGAGCTCATGCGCAAGGAAATTGTTGCACTCGTCAAGTCTGGTCTCGCCCCGTGGCAGATCATCAAAGCGATCAAGGTGTACGTGCTGTCCAAGCTCGACTTTGCCCTTCGTCACATCCGCGCCACCTTCAGCGAGCTCAAGGAGTTCACCTCGTTTCTGTTCCGGTGTCTGCGCCGCCTTCTCCAGTTGCCTCGCCACAGTTGCTCGGCCTTCTTCTCCGCCTCCCTCCAAGACGGCGGCCTTGGGTTTCTTCCCCTTGATGAGCACCGCGACGCCCTCGCCGTCGCCCACGGGTACCAAATGCTACACTCCCCTGATCCTTTGATCCAAGCCATTGCCCGCGACCAGCTCCAGAGCACCATCATGCGCCGATTTACGACTGTTCCCGCTGACCTCCAGACCAACGACACGCCGTTGCAGCACTTTCTGAACGACACGACCGACCAGGTGCCAAGTTTCCTCAAGGCGACGTACCGGTCGGACCCTCCCAACATGTGGATCGACATCCAACGGGCCCTTCGTCGCGCCAAGCTTCAGTTCTCCGGTGTCGGCCCAACGTGCTTTCAGCTCCAAGTCCCCTCGTTTCGACCTCCAGCGACGACCAAGACCGTTCTCCGCCAGCTCAAGACTCATATGCGCACCATACACTACAACGCGTGGTGCGAGTTGCAGGATCAAGGTCGCACGGTCGGTGCCCATGAAGGCCTGGGCAGTCGTTTTCTGTCTCGCGGCGGTGGGTTGTTGGATTGTGAATACCGGTTTGCCATTGCCGCCCGCATGAACCTGATTTCGACTCGCGCTGTCCTGAAGCGCACCCATGGCAACTCCAACACTTCGTGCCGCCACTGCGGCCGTACCGAGACCGAGACGCTCTCCCATGTCCTGCAGCATTGCCCCCACAACGAAGCCTCGATTCGCGCACGTCACGACCTTTCCCTTCGCCGCATAGCCGCGGCGATCGCCAAAGCCAACCCGTCGTGCCGTCTCCTCGTCGAGCAGCCGTTGCCCGAATTCATTGACGTCCTTCTCAAGCCCGACATCATCCTCGTGGACGACGCCAACAAGACTGCTGCGATATGCGACCTCGCCGTGAGTTTCGACGACGGCAACATTCAAGGGAGCGGCCTCACGGGGTTCCAGACGCGCGCCGCCGAGAAGATCGACAAGTATGGTCGGCTCTCTCGTTTCCTGGGCTCCAAGGGCTACGACGTGTCG